CCACAACTGCTGTCAAAATGACATATGCTGTCTCCACACAACTGAAGAGGCTGAGGTGTACTCCCCGTAGTATGGAATATTGATGACGTGCTCGTTTGTAATAAACTTGCTATCAGGCCAGCGTTTGTTGCATGATCTCTCAACGAATGCAAATATCGGCTGGCAAAAGACCTGGTTGTACATGTTTTAGAGTCATTTTAGAAGGGTAACAGGTTTAAGGAGATAATATAATTATTCCGGTCAGGATTTCTTGGGTTACCTGGTAAGCACCAATCAGGTGAACTGCAATGCAGACATTGGCGAAGTCAATTAGCCAAAATGGTTCGTAGAAGCCAAACCCAGTGAGGAAATTTCCAGGTGCATCATTTCCGAATGCTGCGTAGCCAACACACCCGCATAGGACATAGAAAAGAGTGGTTGTGGAGATACCAACCGTGGTTGCCCTCTTCATGGCTTTGTTCTCTGGCGGGCTTGATTTTAGGGTGTCCTGCAGTTGTGATAGGATTGATTGTATCAAACAAAAAGCAAATAAGTTTCTGCACTTGGTTTTTTTTTTTATTTTTAATAGAGGGTCGATAAAAGTCATTATCTTTTTATTCAATTAAATTCAACTATAATGCTATAAAATGAACCAATAGTGGTGGTCCTTATATCTGCTAGTTATTACAGTTAATTGATAAGAGGGCTTTCACTTTTAGACCGATCAAAAAAGGCAATTTCCTTTTAAGAGACTTGGTACATCAGACTTGGACAAATCCTCGTATGGACGGAAGCATTATAAAGGTGAAGAATATTAAAAAAGAAAAAGATAAGTGCGTGACAAAAAGTAGAAACGCATGGGCTCTCACTTCTTCTTTAAAAGGCCAAGAGAATCACTGGCCCAAACTATGGGTGGTCCAACAAGGAATATCTCTTCAAAAAAAAGAAAAACAATTTAAGTAAGAAACACCCAAAAGCTGAAACTGACTTTAAAATATATCTACTTGTCAATACTCATCCTTCAAATCTTTACTTTATGAAAATATATGGAAAATCTTTAGTCAGTGTCATGATAGTGAAGAATCATTGAGCCACTTCTTTGTCTTGATCTTCTTCTTCATCTTTTTAACTATGCCAAATTGGACATTTCTAACCTTTAAATTTTAGGAATAAATAAGAGTATTAGCCACAAGAGTAACCCTTTTTGTCATTTTTTATAAAGCTTCTATTCTGGTATCTCGTAAATTCTTTTTTTACTGTAACCATATAATTTTTAACTCTAGATTTTCTCGTTTTATAAACCATAAAAAAGAAAGAGAGACACTAAATCCTTCAGCCTCCATTTTGGGAATTTGGTTTAAGTGCTAGCAGGGGCTCACTTGCTGCAATTGAGAAGATTGAAGGCAACTGCTTCCCACCCAACCGAAAAAACTCTCTTTCCGGGACCAACTCACATGTTCTTTCCCACTCTCACTAGACTTTGACTCTAAGTCTACTCTAAACAGTATTTCATATGTAAAATATTTATATCTATCAACCTATTTGCATATATTCAATATACACACACACACACAAATATATATAAAATAAAACGTTCGGTGACTAATTATTTTCGAATTTTAAGTTAATAGAAAACAATCAATTTTATTATTTTTCTCAATTGTACTTATGAAGATAATTACCTTCTATTAATTAACATGGTTTAGAAAATATTCTTAAGAGCGCGGTATTTGAAGAACACTCATGCCATGCCCACATTTAAACAGGCACACACTTCAACTCCCTTGTATTTTCTCTCACATGATTTTATACATACATGCCTGCATATAGACAAATTTATCTCCCCACATACGACTTCTCCATGATCCCAACACCCTTCCATGCTTTCATATGCGTACATGTCTATGCGAATATACGGATGCCTATGTGTATCTATTCTACGTAATATATATATATATATATAAATATAGGGCGATTATACTTGCCTGTATCTCAATGAGGACAGTCGAGTATGCATAAGCAAAAGCAATATCCCCGATTGCTTGGAACGTCCTCCAGATTTTCTCAGATCCCGACACGTCAACTCCTACCGTCACCCCTGTTAAGGTTGTCCGCACATGATGCCCTCCTCCTTCATGTCCATCCACCGCCAGCCTCAATGTCAGACCAAAATTCAAAAAGTATACATATACATATATATATACACTCGGAGCAAAACGCGCAGACAGAGACACAGAGCTAATTTTGTTGTTTGTTTTGTTTGTATATATACACTTATGTTTTTAAAATTAATACCTATAGTCTTGGCTATGGAGAGGCCAACCCCAATGGTGGCATAAGCAAAAGACATAATGGCGGCAAGAACAGAGAGCCAAGAAAGCTTGTGGAAGTTTGGTATTTGGCTAAGAACGATCTGAATACAAGCAAAGATCACCATGAATGGAATGTTTGATGTGTAGCACTTCACTTCGTGTCCATGCTTGTGGAAACAATTTGACCTTTTCACCGCCCTGAAAAACAGAAATAAAACATCAACATCTTTTAGTTTCGCTTTGGTCAAAATTGGTAAAGTTCTAATTAGTCAAGATTTTTGGACAATGGGTCTAATTGGTTGAGTTGTTTAGTATTCAGTCTGACGAGTATAATTAATATGTCTGTACTTACACCATGCTTATGGAGGCAGTGATAGTGTAGCCGATTGTTACTCCAATCAGATTTCCATACTGAGCCAGTCCACAGAGCTGAACTTTTCTACCTCCTGTAATAAATTAAATATTCAAAAAAGAGAAAGAAATAACAATAACCCATTAGAGTTTTCATCTTTCCGAAACAAACCCAGATGGAATCTTGACCGAAAAGCAGAGAAATGACATAAGGATATGTATGTATACCTAAGTAGGATCTGACGACGTCCATGTAAGTGTAGTTTCTCTTGCCGGTGACGGGATCGGGAGAGCGGTAGCAGTCGGCCAAGAGAGAGGAGGTGAAGTAGGTGATGAAAGAAAAGGCCATGAGAACCGCCGGCCCTGCAACCCAACCCAACTGCGCTATAGCCCATGCCAGAGACAGCACGCCGGATCCAATCACTGCCGTGATTATATGAGCACTTGCCGTCACCCATGTCCCTTAATTTACCAAAAAAGAGACAACA